CGATACAGAAGAGTACAGCTCCTGAGGTTATTATTTACTATTCTGAATGATAGATTACTGAAATTTCAGTATTGTGGATATGATTGAGGAGATTCCTCTTGGTAACAGATGTTGCTAGCACTCATGGATGAAGCGTATACTGGATCAACCATAGGAGATGGAGGGGTCGACTCTGAATCTGAGGATAGCACCACTATGGCAGTAGCTGATCCGTTCTTTCTTGAGCTTCTCAAGGATGAGAACGATGGTCTAGCTGTATGATCTTTTCTATGTCTTAGAAACTCTAAATTGCTGCAGGGTTGCATGCTGTAAACAGAGAGATTAGACGTCCAAGTAAAACCGCTAGCATTTATTTTGCTTCAAAAAGTGCAAATAACTATGTTTCACTTCCAAAATATTAATTCATGCTCATTCTGATGCTCTCTTTGATGATATATTCTACTAGATCATCCTATAGTTTGTTTTCTTACCAAGTTTTTCTAATTTATCTCTTTCACGGTTCTCTTAATCATTAGGAACGCCACTGGGCTTCTCCTGCAGTGGCTGCGGCTCTACAAGCAGCAGTTAGCTCGCCTATGTCTGATAGACTGAAACAAGCACTGAGAATGACGCCTCGGCTGCTTGATATGTATATTGCTACAGCGATCCATGAAGTCAGTGATTGTAAGTTCATCCATTTTATGCAGGAGGGCTTTTTCTCTTGATAAACAAGGAAGCAGCTCTATGAAGAGTTTGATTCATAATGTTTCTGTTGCAGCTCTAATATGTGCTCTGGTTCCCCTACTTATGGCAAGATATTCCAATTTATTTCCAGACAAGCTATTCTTGTACGAGGTATCTAAGTTCGTGTAGATAAATTGAAGGTTGCCTTCTCAAATTGTAGCATCATGTTGATTATGCAATATTCTATGGAGAAATCTCCTATTGTAGTTCCATAAATTATCATTATCATTTTTTTTATAGCTTTGTGGTTTTAAAGGTACTTGGATTAGTCTTCTAAAAAAAGTACTTGGATTAGTGGTCCCTTTCTGTAGAGCAGAGATATGAATGGCTCCTTTCCAGTGGAGCAGATTGCCTGCTTCTTTTTCTTCATGCATTTTCATGAATGTTGAAAAATGAAGTTTGCTTTCTTTTGAATCTAAGAATTGTTTCAAGGCATTGAAGTTTATACTCAAAACTGAATGATATCCGTGCAACGAACTTTTGTAGAGTTTTAGAAGGACGAGAATTTGGCGGATACAAAAAAAATTTAGGAAAGAAGGAGCATTTTTTAATAGAATAGTTATGGTTCATCTTTTACAGGAGGATCCCTCTCCTAATGCTGGGACCCTTTGAGTGGATGCCACCTTTGCACAGTATCATAGTAGTGCTTTTAACTGTTTGAGTGTACTTGGAATTTTAGTTGGTGATACATTCCAACTCATATTTGTAGGTTCAAAAGAGGATCTTAGAGCTCATGCTTGCAGCCTTTAATCGATCTCCTAGTTTCATTGCACTTCTGAAGGTATTGGTCTTAATTATACCTAGCAAGTCGTCACTTTGATCTTGTATAGTAATTCAAAGTCGTAATTGGTTAGAATGGTAATGAAGTGCATTTCTGCATGACTTGCGCACCTTCGTGTATTTTATTTTGCCCAGATCTCATCTCATAACTTTTTTATATTTGAGTTTTTCTCAATGAATCATAAGACCCGCAATCCCCTCTCTTTCCTCTTTACCTTCCCTGTTTTCCTTGATTTGGTGTACTTTTAGCCACCCCTATGTTTGTGCAGAAGCCTATAGTGGACAGACTTGGAGAAGCTTATGATAGTCCGACAAAGGTGACTGGACCTTCTTTCCAAAGTCACAATAAGGCATATATCTCTATCTCATTTAACCTGAAAGAACTGACTGAAGGTTAACTGTTCTCAGACTGAATTGGCATTACAATTATGCTGGGTAATTGGGGAGCATGGAGGTGGTGGTGAAGCCCACAAAGATGCCGCTCGCGAACTCTTTGAGAGCTTGGAATTACTTTTGTATGAAAACCTTTCTTCAAGGTAGACTGTTATTGACTGCTTTGCACAACATCAGAGATTCATTTTGAGATGCCACTCTTTACTGAGTTTTATGTTTTTCTTTTGCTGATAAGCCGTCTGGGTCTGCGTGAATCAGCTCTTGGGTCTGATACTGCAAAATTCAGAAAATCATCACAATCAAGATTATTGTGTTTCGTTGTGACAGCCATTGCCAAGCTTGCCACATATCACCGTGAGCTTTTGCCCAGGGCCCGTGTATCCTTGGCAAAGGTTAGTGTATCTAGCTTTTATTGTGGCAGTTTACAGCGATCACCTTTTAGAGAAAGTATTTCGTGGCAGCAGTTGATATGATGGTAAATGTCTCAGATTTTGGGTTATTATGCTTAATTTGTCAATCTGATTGACAGGTTGCACGTTCTCGGATCTCAGATGCAAGAGTCTGGAGGCGTGCACGTGATTATTTGGGTCTGATGAATGAACCTGCTATATGTTTGTCTATCTTGGGACCATGTGAATCTCCAAGTAAAGGGATGCAGAAACCTGGCACTGTGAATTGGAGTGAAGGGGGAACTAAAATGATTTCCCATGTTCCGTTTTACATTTTAGGTGAACAAGAAGGTAAGCTGACTGTAACTTAATGTTATCTGAATTTTATTTTTCAACGAAGACAGCTTGAATTGTTATTAATGAGGTACAAAAAATGATACGCAGGTCCTCCCCATGATTACTCATTTACTGATATTCTTCCTGGAAGATAGTGTATCGTCTGGAATTGCTCGTCATTCACTACACAATCTGGGTGAGTAATGCTAACAGAAGATAAAGAACAAAGTGTTAGAGCAAATATGTAAAGAAATCCATTTGTTCCAGTTTTCTACATCAGGCAATGTGCCCCGACCCTTCCCTGGACTCTGTGCATAGCGGGAGCTTAGTTCACCGGGCTAACATTTTTTGATAAGAGGGGTGGTTTTGCTTTATGCTGGCGCATTAGATCAAATGTACATTAATCTATTCTCTTGTGTATGATTTGGTTTTCTGCCTTTTTTACATTCTGGGTGCTGAGAAATTATTATCAGCGTAAGAAGCTTTTGGTCCAATGAACGAATGAAACGAACCAGTCCGTGTATATTGGGATAAATTAAAAAATAGCTAGATTTACAAGTGGTAATTGAAAAATAGCCACAGTTTCAAAAGTAATCGAAATTTTGCCACTTTTCATGTAAAGATAAATCTGAACGAAAACTAATATACTGGAACTCTATCATATTATACTAATTATACTGGAACTCCAGTATATTATGCTGGAGTTCCAGTATAATATATTGGAACTCCAGTATAATATGCTAGAGTTCCAGTATAATATACCGGTCCAGCATAATATGCTGGAAGTTCATACATAGGTGCTCCAATCTCCAGTATATTATGCTGGAACTTTCTGCGTGTTGGAGTTCCAGCATAATATGCTGGAAGGGTGCACCAATCTCCAGTATATTATGCTGGAACTTTCTGCGTGTTGGAGTTCCAGCATAATATGCTGGAAGGGTGCACCAATCTCCAGTATATTATGCTGGATCGGTCCGTATTGCAGTAAAATAGTGATTATTTTTCAATGACTTTGCAAATGCTGTCTATTTTTGAATTACCAGTCTGAAAACTAGCCTTTGCGTATATATTTCTTCGACCCAAATTCGTTTTGATATTATCCATAGACATCAAGTTTATTTCATTCCTATACAAAGTTATTCGTCTTTTAAATATCATATATATCTAGAGGAGTTAAACTGTAGCCTGGCCTTGGAATGATCAAATCCACCAAATATCACTCAAAAAACCAGAAAACAGAGTAATCAGCTTTTTCCAAATATAATGCAGCTTATATTGGTAATTTATTTTGCAGGGGATTGTCATACTTGAAAAACATTTGAAAAAAATTACAATTTCGATCACTAAACATGAATCTTAATGTTCTCTATTCTCTATTTAATAGGAGGAAAAAAAAGCAAGGGAAATGACAGTCTTGGCATAGTTTCTCTAGATGCCAAACATCTTCTCATCTCAGTAAAGAAGAATATTAAGGAACAAAATAAATGTTTCAACATACAGAGTTGAACAACAATGAATCCTTGATTAGGGAAACTGTTTCAGATATGAGTTTGTTTGCTGTTAACACCGAGTGTGGGGGAAGATACTCCGGCGTTGATAGTTCTTCATCCATCAACTGAAATGCTATGGTTAGAACACTTCCACCAGTAAGAATATCCTCTGGAAAGTTTGTTTTTTCAGGAGAGAAAGGGAGGATAGCAAATCCTGAAGCCAACATTACTACATCATCTGAGTATTTACCTTCCATAATATGCTGCACAGCTGAGGCATCAACTGGTGCATAAATTATGTACATTACTGTTGTATCTGTGAAGCTTTCTTGGAGGTAAAACATTTCTGATTTGTCTTCTCTTCCATTGGGAGGCTATTAATCAAGAAAACTGTTAGAAACTGTTGAAATGTGTGACCGTCAGAGAGAATTCTCAACACGGTCTGTCACGTGTTGGCTTATTACACTTGGAAATATGTTTTTGCTTTTTGGGTGACAGTCAGAGGCGGATCCAGGATTTAAACACAGTGAGTTAAATATTTAAGGTTTTTAGTACCGAACCAATTATATTTATAAAGTTATGGGTTGAGACCCATTATGTGTTGCAATTTTAGTGAATTTTTACACTAATTTTTTGCTCTACGTCAAAAGTACTGGGTTCAGATGAACCCGGTACTATAACACTACATACGCCTCTGGTGACGGTGAGATTTGGACACAGAACCTCTGTCTGCTCTAATACCATGTTGAAGCGTGCGACCATCTCATCTAGAAGCTTAAGCTGTTAGATAGTACACTTTTAATTGCTTAATTATGTTATGTATCAACCTTGCTGTCCGGTCTCTCCAAAAATGTCCTCGGGAGCATTTCGGATCCTCCAAAAATAGTGCATTTTTGGAGGATTCGACAAGGGAGTCCGCGCAACATATGTCTCAACTTCATTCCTTGTAGAATTCTAAATCAAAAAATATTAGGTGAGTTTTCCCTTCTACCTAAGTCTTGGTAGGCATAATTACCCTCATGTGTTTATGGGAGGTAGTAGGTACCCAATGGACATGAAAGCTGGCTCGACACCACCTTTGTAAAATAAAATAAGAAATTAAAATCAAAACGTACTACTTACGGAGTACAAGTTATTAAATTGACATACCTCTACCATGACTAGTGAAACAGAGTTTGCAGGGTCTCGTGCTGAAGAAATATGTAGTTCATCGCGAGTCATACACCCAATGGAGAGTAAATCCCACTACAACAATATGTGGTAGCAATGAAAAATGGCATCAGTTCAGAATACAGATTGCAGCACTGAAGATGGATGTAATAAGTGGAGTTTTAATTAAATGGAATAAACTCTATCAACTAAGAAGGCTTTACTCCCAAAGGCGTCTCGACAGTTGAATCCTAAACTCACCCTCCCCAACATTCCCCTCTATATATTTGTATCATTGAACCTAAAACTGGTGCAAAGAGAAAAAGAAAAGTGAATCTGCTCTAAGAATATAACAAAAACACACTACTAATGTACTAATTGGAAACAACCTCTCTATCCTCACAAGGTAGGGGTAAGGTCTGCGTACACACTACCCTCCCCAGACCTCAGGGTGTGGGATATTACTGGGTATGTTGTTGTTGTTGTACACTACTAATGTACTAATTGGAAACAACCTCTCTATCCTCACAAGGTAGGGGTAAGGTCTGCGTACACACTACCCTCCCCAGACCTCAGGGTGTGGGATATTACTGGGTATGTTGTTGTTGTTGTACACTACTAATGTACTAGCATGGCTAAATGTTGAAGAGTTCTATGTAGCAGATTACCTTGCAGCGATTTTCGCCTGCTCGAAGGAACTCAAAAACGTCTTTCTGTGGGATCGGTAGCCACACAGACGTTGAAATCGTTACTGCAACACCACGAGGGGTTCCTCGAGCATCTAAATTCAAGCTTGTTTTCGCGAAGTTATTCCCACCACCTTGTATCCTTAAGGGCATCCACTGGTTTTCATTGCATGAGCTAAAAATAGCATTATAACTTCTCACCATCCGTTCTGCCAACTTCATTAAATTCTTCCTTCCTTCTTCTATGTCTAGAATATAAAGATAAACACAAGAATAGCCGATGATCAGTACTAAAGCTAGTTTTCTCTTTACATAATAGACTATATGTATTCCTTTAGAGTTTTAGACATCGAAGAATGACAAGGGAAAGGTCAACTTTACCTATTCACTATATACAACAACATCAACAACCCAGTAGAATCCCACTAATGGGGTCCGGGGAGGGTAGAATGTACGCAAATCTTACCCCTACCCCGAAGGAATAGAGAGACTGTTTCCGGGAGACCCTCAGCTCAGAGACAATAGATTCGTAACCCCAACAGAAGCCAGAAAAATAGTATCAGCATCGTAAAATACAACAAATAAATAGAAAGGCCAAAATATGAAAAAAAAGAAGAAGTGAAACACAACAAAAACGCTAGCAGTCCTAGACGAAACACTATCAGACTAGCCGACGCAGCGAAGAGAAATGCTCGACTACCCCCTAACCTACAATCCTAATGCTCGACCTCCGTACCTTACTATCAAGGGCCATGTCCTTGGAAATCTAAAGTTGTGCCATGTCCTGCCTGATCACCTCGCCCCAGTACTTCTTATGCTGCCCTCTACCTCTTCTCGTAACTGCCAGAGCCAAACGCTCACACCTCCTAACCGGAGCATCTTGGCTCCTCCTCCGCACGTACCCGAACCACCTAAGCCTCGCCTCCCGCATCTTGTCATCCACGAGAGCGACGCCCACCCTCACCCGAATATCCTCATTCCTAATCTTATCCATCCTAGTGTGCCCGCACATCCATCTAAACATCCTCATTTCTGCTACTTTCATCTTCTGGATATGTGAAATCTTGAGTGGCCAAAACTCAGCCCCATACCACATGGCCGGTCTAACCACCGCTCTGTAGAACTTACCTTTAAGTTTCGGTAGTACATTCTTGTCACACAAGACTCCGGACGCTAACCTCCATTTCATCCACCCCACCCCACCCCGATACGGTGCGTGACATCCCCGTCTATCTCCCCATCTCCCTGGATGAAATATCTTAATTATACTATCCGTTATACTTCAGGGTCATTCATACCCTTGGTCGTTAGTATTAGTTTACAGTATGTATAGTATAGTCTTGTCCCACATTGGAAGAGCAGTAATATCTCCTTATAATGTATAGCTATAAATAAAGACCTCTTGTATTGTATTTAAATATCTAATATCAATAATATATTTTCTCCCGTACTTTCTCACATGGTATCAGAGCATTAGTGAGAAACCCGTCACTGTGTATCATTCCAGCGACTTCCGGGAAGAAAGACCTCTTCACCGTGCTATTTTCCGGCGACTTAAAAGGTTGTCCGTAAGCAAATCACTTTCTGTTGGTGTTGTACAAAAACCAACACCACCACAAGACTCCTCAAGCTCCGGCGACCAAACCCTAGTCAACCCCACCGGAAAACACACATCTACACGCCCTCACGTGCCGGGAAAAGAAAATTTTTCCGGCGAGATCTGACCCACGCACCGGCGCGTGAACACTGTTCCGGCCAGATTTTGAAAAAGTTCCAGTTGAATAGTAGGATCGCCTGGTAATTCCGATCCTACCCTCACTGGTTTTGTTTCATTCCGACCACTTTGAGTTTTTCCGTCAGCTACAGTAGATTCCGGCGAGCTACAGTATTTCCAGCGTGAACAGTGTTCTGTTTTCCTGTTGTAAACAGTGTTTTTCAAGCTATTTCTTCAGTTTTCTCACAGGAGTTACTTATTTTCACTATTTCAAGTTAACCCTACTACTACAAATTATAGCGACATGAGAATCAATGCTTTGAATAGTCGGATGGTTTTTTTAGCAGATTATATTGAGTTCCTTCAGTACAAAGCATGTAAGCAGACATCTCGTAGCGATATGGGAACCGATGCTTTGAATAGTCGAATGGTTTCTTTAGCAGATTATATTGAGTCCCTTCAGTACAAAGCATGTAAGCAGACATCTTCTGAGATAGCTTCTGTTGTTCAAACAGGTAATAGCGTGACTTGTTTCTCCCATACTTCATCCTCTGAGTCTTGGGTCATTGATTCAGGTGCATCAGCTCATATTTTTGGTAACAAATCTTTTTTCACTACTATTTCGTATTCTCAATCTCTTCCAAATGTCACAATGGCGAATAGGTCTCAAACCATGGTAACTGCAATAGGTCAAGCAAGCCCACTTCCTTCCTTACCTTTAGATTCAGTCCTTTATGTTCCCAATAGTCCTTTTAATCTCATAGCTGTTAGTCGCTTAGCCAAATCACTTAAATGTGCCGTTTTATTTCTTGATGACCATGTTTTTATACAGGAATGCAGTACGGGACGGATCATTGATACCGGGTGTGAATCAAATGCACTTTATTACCTTATCCTTGCTAAATCACATGGACTCACATCTTGTCTTCCTTCTACAACTTGTCCTGTATTACTGATTCACCAGATTTATTACATAAACGGTTGGGACATCCCAGTTTGTAAAAACTTCATAAAATGGTATCTGGTTTATCTCACTTATCAGCTCTAGAGTGTGAGTCATATCTGCTCGGTAAGCATACTCGCTCACATTTCCCTCGGCGTCTTGATAATCGAGCAGAGTCACCTTTTATTTTAGTCCATTCAGATGTTTGGGGTCCTAGTCGGTCAGTTTCACCTTGGGATTCCGCTACTTTGTCAGTTTCATTGATGATTATTCGAGGTGCACTTGGATATTTTTGATAAAAAATCGATCTGAGCTGTTTTCTATTTTCTAGACCTTCCACGCTGAAATTCAAAATCAATTTGGAGTTTCTATTCGCACATTTCGTAGTGATATTGCCCGAGAGTATTTGTCTTCCCCATTTCAGCAGTTTATAAAATCTTATGGGATTATTCATCAAACATCTTGTCCGTACACATCTCAACAAAATGGGGTAGATGAAAGAAAGAATAGACATCTTATTGAAACTACTCGTACCCTACTCATACAATCTCATACTCCGTTGTATTTTTCGGGGGATGCAGTTCTTACATCTTGCTATCTTATTATTGTATGCCATCTTCAGCTATCCAGAACCAAGTTCCATTCTCTGTCATGTTTTCCCACTTACCTTTGTTCTCTCTTCCACCCTGTATCTTTGGAAGTACTTATTTTGTCCATAACCTTACTCTAGGAACAAATAAGTTAGCTCCTCGTGCTCTTAAGTGCGTATTTCTGGGTTTCTCAAAAATATAAAAGGGGTATAGATGCTACTCTTCTGACCTCCAGCGGTACCTTATGTCCGCTGATGTTACCTTCTTTGAAACCCAATCATATTTCACAGGTTCAGGTCATCACTTAGATATTTCTGAGGTACTATCAGTTTCATCTTTTGGAGATTCAGTCACTCCAGCTCCACCACCTACAACTCCAGTTATAGCTCCACCACCTATAGCTCCAGTTCCACCACCTACAACTCCAGTTGTAACTCCACCACCTATAGCTCTAGTTCCTCCACATAATCCAGTTCAACTTTCTGCAGCTCCACCACTCTTGACTTATCATCGTCGTCCACATCCAGCATCATGCCCAGGTGATTCACGCCCCGCATCAGATTCTGCACCTACTGCGGACTTGTCTCCTCTTAGTCAACCAATTGCACTCCGCAAAGGTGTACGATCCACACTTAATCGTAATTTCCACTACGTCGGTTTAAGTTATCATCGCCTGTCGTCACCTTATTATGCTTTTATATCTTCTTTGTCCATTGTTTCTATCCTTAAGTCTACAGGTGAGGCACTATCTCATCTAGGATGGCGACATGATATGATTGATGAGATGTCTATTTTACATGCGAGTGGCACTTGGGAGCTTGTTACTCTTCCTGCAGGTAAGTCTACTGTTGGTTGTCGTTAGGTTTATGTAGTCAAAGTCGGCCCGGATGGCCAGGTTGATCGGCTTAAGGCTCGTCTTGTTGCAAAAGGATATACTTAGATTTTTGAGCTTGATTATAGTGATACTTTCTCTCCCGTGACTAAAGTAGCATCTGTTCGTCTCTTTTTGTCTATGGATGTCGTACATCATTGGCCTCTTTATCAGTTAGACATTAAGAATGCTTTTCTCCAAGATGATCTTGAGAAAAAAGTTTATATGGAGCAACCAACTGGTTTTGTTTCTCAGGGGGAGTTTAATGGTTGTGTGTGCAGATTGCGCAGGTCACTATATGGTTTGAAACAGTCCTCTCGAGCTTGGTTTGGTAAGTTTAGCACAATTATTCAGGAGTTCGGCATGACTCGTAGTGAGGCTGATCACTCTGTATTTTATCGGCATTCTGCTCCTAATCTGTGTATTTATCTAGTGGTTTATGTTGATGATATTGTTATTACTGGCAATGATCAGGATGATATTACTAATCTGAAGCAACATCTCTTTCAGCACGTTCAGACTAAGGATCTCGACAGATTGAAGTATTTTCTAGGTATTGAGGTTGCTCAGTCTAGCTTAGGTATTGTTATACAGCTGAAGTATGCCTTAGACATTCTTGAGGAGACTGGAATGATGAGTTGCAAACCTATTGACTCTCCTATGGATCTGAATGCTAAGCTTCTGCCTGGACAGGGGATCCTCTTAGAGACCCTATGAGATATATGAGGTTGGTTGGCAAATTGAATTACCTCACAGTAACTAGACCTGACATGTCTTTTCCGGTGAGTGTTGTAAGTCAGTTTATGGATTCTCCCTGTGATAGTCACTGGGATGCAGTTATTTGCATTCTTCGGTATATAAAGTCAGCTCCAGGCAAAGGATTACTATTCGAGGATTGAGGCCACGAGCAGATTGTTGGGTACACAAATGCTGATTGGGCAGGATTACCTTTTGATAGACGTTCTACGTCTGGATATTGTGTTTTAGTAGGAGTTAACTTGGCCTCGTGGAAGAGCAAGAAACAGAATGTAGTTGCTCGATCTAGCGCCGAAGCCGAATATCAAGCCATGGCTATGGTGACGTGTGAGTTAGTTTGGGTCAAGCAGTTGCTCAAGGAGTTAAAGTTCGGAGAAATTAGCAAGATGGAACTAGTGTGTGATAACCAAGCTGCTCTTCATATTGCGTCAAATCCGGTGTTCCATGAGAGGACTAAACACATTGAGATCGACTGTCACTTTGTCAGAGAAAAAATACTTTCAGGAGATATTGTTACAAAGTTTGTAAAGTCGAATGATCAACTAGCAGATATTTTCACTAAGTCTCTTACTGGTTCTCGTATTAGTTACATGTGTAACAAGCTCGGTACATATGATGTGTATGCACCGGCTTGAGGGGGAGTGTTAGTTTACAGATATGTATAGTGTAGTCTTGTCCCATATTGGAAGAGGAGTAATATCTCCTTGTAGTGTATAACTATAAATAGGGACCTCTTGTATTGTATTTAAACATCTAATATCAATAATATATTTTCTCCCGTGCTTTCTCACAGTTAGCAAATCGTCTTGTATTTGCCCTTGGCTTTAACGGAGCTCCAGTGTGGACATATTGGATTCTATACATCAATATACTGCAGGAAAAAAGTTTTCAATTTTTTTGATAACCATGGTGTCGGGCCAGCTTGCGCGCACTTCGACTAATTCCACAGCATACATGCTACCTTCTACTAACAACACGTATCAGGTAACTCTATCCACCAAGGTCGAGTGAGGTTAACATTTTCCTCTGAACCTTGGAGATCTGTTCGGATCAAGGGCAAATACGAAACGATTTGCTAACATGTACAAGTTTGAATGACTCTAAAGTATAACGGAGAACAAATTAAGATATTTTTTTAATAGTAAAGAGGTATTTTTATCCTTTTTCCGAATGAAAATGACGACGACTAGGATCATACAGTTTAATTTTGAGAAAAAGCAAACAAGCTTACTATTGTCTTGCAAGGGTTGTTCCAATGGTTGATCATGCTGTTTCTTCACAGTTGCATTTCTGTCATAATGTCTCTCCATGGTCAGCATCCAGCGCTTTGCACTGGATGCAACACCTGATTTAAGTATCTGCCTGAACATTTGGGGAACCAAACCATTGCATACTACATTATGCTCCACCCAAGTAACCTAAAATTAACACACGATGATCCTAACAATTAATGTACTAACTAGGAACCGAAATCTTGTTAAGAATAATAGCTGATTTGGATCAGTAAGATGTATTTTGCTTTACCAATGATAGTCCAGTTTGAAGCCCTTGAATTAGACATCCTGATGGTCTTCTTTGACATTGGACTAATGGATTTGGAAAAATACTCTCCAAGGAGACATCAGTTACCAGCCAAGTGTTGAAATCTAGTTGTCGAGAATACCTCGCGAAATAGACCTCCCGGGGCCTAACTAGTGGAGAAGGAAGATGAAATTGTGCTGTCATCTGAAAAAAACCAGTCTCTTAATTTGCTTACATACACCAGAAACTCTAGTGTTCACTGATATAACAAGAACATGAGATTTTAAAGTAAGACGACACCACGGACTTCAAAAGTTTGACCACATTCTGCGCTCAATGGTGTGAACTAGTAGTCAATGAAGTGGATGAAAATCTTGGCAGACTAGAGTTCAAATCTCACCAGAGACAAAAAATACTAAGTAATTTCTTCACATCTACCTAATCCTCGGTGGGTAGAGTTACCAACTACCATGTACCAGGAATAGTCGAGGTGCACCAACCTGGCCCGAGCACCAGCGTCATAAAAAAATTTGGCCACATTCCCCCTCCCCCAATTCAAATGTCTAGATTTGTATGTGGCTCCTATATGATGAAACCTATGCCTACCAAATGTATAGCTAGAAAATTGTAGCAGAATTCAAAATGGCTTTGTAGCTCAACAAGATTAGACTAAGTGCTTTAGCTTACCACTTGCAAGGCTTTATTAGGATTTCCATCTTCTCCTGTCATTAGAAGTCCAAGATTTGTTGCTTTTGAGACAATGTTGGAGAACACACATGACCACTGGTCCTGCTTTCATAACAATTAAGTATCATATTTTCAATTTATTGACATAACTCAGAATAGTAAGGTTAAAACAGCTATATTGCACGAACTCTCAAAAATGCTGCCAGACCCTCATCGGATCCTCCAAAAATGCACTATTTTTGGAGGATCCGACACGCACCTGGCTACATTTTGGAGAGTCCGTGCAACATATTATAATACTAGTTCTATGTATCTATAACTTACAACATCCATCAACATATTCACAAGGTTGATTGGATCCACAAGGACAATCCCAATAGCTCTTGATGCTTCAATTTCAGAGGGCATTGCTGAATTTTCCATTTCTAACATTGACATTTGTGCATTTTCACTTGTGTCATCAACATTTCCATTAAGATTTGGTATGTCAATAGGCCCTCCTCTTGTAATGACTTTGATTATTTCCTCTAATGTAGGATCAAGATGGACGAATCGTCGCTTATATTCTGCTTCATTGAGAATCTCAGTTTGCTTGTTGGTATCAAATAGCCATAATGGTTCTTGTTCTTGAGCCATTTGTCTTAGCTCTTCACTTGCTGCTAAAGCAAGATCAACAATTTTGCCTTTGTATACTTCAGCACACATTGAAACTGATAAAAGAAGATCACTTGCTCGAGGCATGTCCCTTTCCAAGACTGACATGGACTGAGAATCAAAGTTTAGATTTCTAAGTAGAGAAATTTGCTCATCAAAATTCAGTATGTATATCAGAGGCGAACTCAGAATTTAAATTTGACAGTTCAACCATTGGGTTCTTACTACTGAACCGATCATACTTTTGAAATTGTAAGTTCAGAACTTAATAAAAAAGGGCAGCCAGGTGCATAAAACATCCTATATTCATACAAGGTCCGGGGAAGGGTCGCACCCCAGGAGGTGTGATATAGACAACCTACCCTAATGCAAGCATTAGTGGCTGCTTCCACAGCTCGAACCCGTGAACTATAAGTCATTTATTAAAATTTAGTAAGAGCAACCCGATGCACTAAATTCTCGTTATGCACGGTGTCCGGGGAAGGGCTGGACTACAGGGGTCTATTGTACGCAACCTTACCCTGCATTCTACAAGAGGCTGCTTCCACAGCTCGAACCCGTGACCGTCTGGTCTCATAGCAACAACTTTATTAAAATTTAATAATGTATATATTTCGTGTAAAAAATATCGGGCGATATTTAATCCCTCCCTGCAATTTTGCGTATATTCTCATGGTATTAAATTCATGTCAAAATAACATACTTGTGATTTAATTTGGTGAATTTAAAATACCTCTAAATATCCATAGTGCTCCAACCCTGGTTTCTCTTCAGGGGACATCTTGTAATTTGCAAAACCTAATAACAATCAAAACTCTCATCAAAGATATAGAGAAACTATAAAAACTGAAAAATACTGCTATAAGAAAGACCGATCATCAAATTCTAAAACCCCAATACCATTGTTTCCATTTAAATAATTTAAAAAATGGGCAGCCCGATGCCTAAAGCATTCCGCGTTCACGGAGGGTTCGAGAAAGGGCCGCACCCCAAGGGGTGTGATGTAGGCAGCCTCTAATGCAAGCATCAGTGGCTGATTTCACGGCTCGAACCCGTAACCTATATGTTACAAAAACCATAACCAATATAAGGAATAAATCGTCAAAGAAATACTAATCAAATTTAAATGAGGGGAAGGCTGTGATATTAAAGGCAGAATCGCTTATCATTTAAAGAAAACTAATGAAAAGAGTACCGCTTGAAAATGAATAACTATGAAGATAAATTAAATGAGAACTATATCATGCATTCCCATGCATAATTAATTGTAGTTTATGTGAAACAAAATTAATCAAGAAATGAATTATACTAAACCTGCTGCCGTGTCTCTATTCTTCTCTCTCTAGGTCTTTTGTTCATTAAACTTTCCATTATATAAATGGTTTGCAGTGTCGGGTTCATCTAAACCCAGTATACATTCGCCACGTAACGTAAACTTAGGTGTAAAAATTCACTACAATTGCAATAAATGATAGGCCTAAATCCATAGGTTTAAAAATAAAAGGGTTTAATACTAAGAACCTTAAATGTTGAGCATATAAAGTTTAAATCCTGGATCTGTCCAAATCCTATATTTATATTAAAATATTCACTAAATTTGTATAAAAAATAAATTCAGAACCTACTTATTAATACTTAATATCGCTATTAGAATTTAGAGTCCTTAAAATTCAAATTCAGAACCTAACTACTTAACACAAAGAGTTTGACTTCTCTTTTCTATAAAAAGTTTGCTAAACTTATAATGTGCCTTCAAAATTCAAATTGAAATGTTTAAGGAAATAAGAAAAAGACTAATTCCATTAACGAGAAGTCATAAAAAGTGGAAGAATTTGATTCTGTCTCCCCTTAAATAGGAGTAAAAAATATCTTAAACATCATAATTGTATTTCACCCATATTTATCCCAAAATAAACATTACCGTTCCTTTTTTTTTCCCAAGACTTAACTATGTCATACTTCGGCCTAGATAAAATTTTAATCAATTTTCTTTGAGTTACCGACATATTTTAAAATATATTTTTTCTTCTACAATCTTTAAATATTACTTAAACATCGACCAAATTGTTTAGAAAAAATAGCAGATAATATAGGAGAAGTGGAGTATTATAATATAATAAGAGGTCTTTTTTTAGCAGGCAAGCTTGTTAAATTTCTTAAGTCTTCTGCACTTTTTTCGTAGATAAGCTTTATTTTTTTTTTATTTTTTTTTGATGGTTCGAGATGTGGAAACAATCACTAATACTTGCAACATGGTAGGTTATCTACATCAAACTCCTTAGGATGCGATCCTTCCCGAGAACCCGGATGAATGCAACATACTTTGTGCATCGGGCCGGGCCGGGGCTGCCCTTATCTTCCACTCAACTTTTAGAGGATATATTCATTTTAATTTATTATATTAGTTCTACGAAATATACAATGATAACACATGCATCATATGCTTGCTACCTGGGACCTCCTTAGATCAAGTGTTAGAATTAGTAATGTAGTATTATTCAAAAATTTCACTTGAATATTCAAACCAGAAGTTAATTAAAACCATTTATTTAATTTTGGAATATTCTCCAAAATACTGCTTTCTGCACTATAATTAAAGCTTCTGCAACTTCTTCGCTAGTTAGGTTTTTGCTTTCATTCTCAAGAGTTTTTTTTTTCTTTCTTTTTTTTCTTTAATTAATTTGACGATACAAATTATTTAAAGAAATTTCTGAAAAAGAGGAATTTATGTGAAGAGCAATGGTTAACCAATAAATTTGCTATTAAAACTACGCCCCCTTATACTTGTCCGGTTTGCATTTTGTACTGCGCTTAAGAAATATTAATTAAGTATTTATTTTACTAAATTATTATGGTTAGTGATACTTTGGAATTCTATATTTGACTCTAATTAGTACATATTAGTTTGGAAAGTAATTACTTAATGATAAGGGTAAAATTAGAATAATAATAATTAATTTTCTCTTGATTTGCTAAAGTGGACACATAAAAGAGAACAATAGTAGGAGTATTTATAATAAACTTATTGTTATCTAATTTAGTATGAAAATGATTAAACAAGAAATAGACAAAGCTTTGATTTTAAAAACTTGCGTAATGAGTCATGTTCATTCAAACTTGGAAACTTGGAAGAATTCAGATTCACACAAGGAAATAAAGTTTTTTGATTAATTAGCAAGCTCTAATATTCTAGGAAAGTTGAAGTGGTTAATTATATAGGAGCCCATAAAACTAATTCACTTTTTAGTATGTAGTATTTCATATATTTTATTATGAATTTGTTGCCATCAAAATTGAGTCTAAGAATGATTATATCAATTCTAAAAAGGTATGAAGTGAAATAGACTTATGTACCAACTCCTAACGTGTTAAGAACTTGGAAACTTGAATGTAATGTCACCATACGAGGAATTAAATATTTTTTTTGTTAACATAAAAGGTCAGAAATTCTAGGAAAATTAAAATGCCAAATTTATAATTTACTTCAAAATCCTATATGTTAGTTCATGTATAATTTCAATAAAAGAATTTTAATTAGTATTTTATTTAACATAGAATATATGTAGGGATGTACATGGGTCGGGTTGGTTCGGATTTTCTAATTACTAAACCAAACCAATTGTATCGAGTTATTAAATCTAAATACCAAACCAAACCAATAAAAGTCGGGGTTTTTAATCTCGGTTTTTCTCGGGTTTTTTCTGGTTTTCGGATTTTTTTTGGGTTTTTTTCATAAAGTCTTCATAGCACAAAACGTAAACTTTGTGCTCCAAATAATTTTTTAATCGTAGTAAGACAGAACTATATAAGGTATTTTTCAATAAAATAACATAAATATGAGATCAGTCATGACATTGTACTAAAATATTCAACAATAAAAATAATAAAATCGCATAAAATAAATATTATTAATGAGCCATAATGAAAACAAATATAATTTAAAATTATGACTAATACGTACTATTATTTACATGACTAACCACTAAAACAAAAATAAGTTATACATTTTATCTAAATTATGAAAAAACTAAAAAATAGATATCCAACACTATTTTCTTGCATAGTACAATTGAATTGATTGTATTAGCATTAGCATTAGTATTGATTTGATTTTGGTTTAGGATTTATTTGAGTTACTAACATTTATGGACTACAAAACTTATTGGAGCATCCAAAAATTATAAGCCCAAGTTTGAAGTAATAAGTTAAAAGATAAAACTATGAAAAAACTTAAGAAATATTTATAAACTACACTACCATAAATATTTTTATGTATTAAATATATTTAAAACTTCTATACATATAATATCGGGTTTGTTTGGTTTCGGTTTGAATTTTTTTAGTTAAAATCAAACCAAACCAAATATGGTCGGATTTGTTTTTCCAACACCAAACCAAATCAAACCAAACCATAGTCGGATTTTTTTTTTCTCGGTTTGACTCGGATTATCGTATTGGTGCGGTTTGTCGGTTTCATTTGTACACCCCTAAATATATGTATTGATGTGTAAAAAAGTTGATCAACATTTTATTTTACAGTTTCATGATTTTACAACAATATAGAAAATAGATAAAATATATAGCATACGATTTTATTTACTTTGTTTATTTGATTTGTTAGATAAAGTTCAATTAGAAAAAGAAGTGTCGTCTAAACACGAGAATGGATAGGACTTATAGGAGTCACCCACATTTTAGGCGTAACATGAAACGGGTATGCATCCCTTTCTCTCGTGTCTCATATTTTTAATGTTCATATTTTATTTTATTTTTGATTTTTCGTTCACTGTTCGGTACCTGCGTAGGTGTTCGACTAATCCGGATTCGTGCTGAAAAGTTTTACTTTAGGGGGTTAAGCCATCCTTATTAAAGACGATTTCATACACAAAACTCGAACTCAAGATATCTGATTAAGGTTGAAAGAATATTTACCGCTCCACCATAATTTTTGATGATTTTAATATTTATATTTGAGTAAACTCTAGATATGGGAATCATGAAAGGGTTTGGTGCAAGATTGAGGAATGTGACTCCCCCACCAACCCCCCACCCCCGAAAAAAAAAGAAAAAAAAATCATTTGCTTATTCTGAGAATAATTAAAATACAAGTTGACTATTTTAGTGCCCTCCGACCAACGGCATGATAACAATTTGTCAATCCTACAAGAATGAAAAATTAGAAGGTCATTATCAAGACTTCTTTTGTATTTTTCGGATAGAACAATGGTTTAAAGTTTAAAGCTTCTTTGGCTGAGAATTCATAAATGTTTAATAATTTATGTTAGGCAAAGATTAAAAAAATAATTTGAATGTCTAATTACGAAAAAGGATTTATATGCAATGCATTATTTTATAGTCAATATCATTCAAATTGATACATGATTTGAAATATTTATAATTATGAGAGACTTTAATTAAAATTTTCAATTTCATTTAATTGAATAGTGAAAATAAAATCGAGAGAGAGAGAGAGAGAGAGAGAGAGAGAGAGAGAGAGAGAGAGAGAGAGAGAGAGAGAGAGAGAGAGAGAGAGAGAGAGAGAGTTTTGTCCCTACTTTGTAGATAGTTTGATAAATGTAATTTTCGTCCCGAAAAGATTAAAAACAAATCTAGTTTTGTTGTTAAGGAGAAGCTGCTATTTATTTTTTTCGCAATAAGAGAACAACTTCTTCTGCTACTCAATTTATGAAAGCATTTACTTTTTCCAAGAAACTTGGCCAAGCACTAGAATTCTTTAAAATAAGTAGAGTAGTAATTTTTGTAATTTTATAAATAGCACTTTTAAAATTCCCAA